TACCTACCTACCTACCTACCTACCTACCTACCACATGGCGGTACAGCCCATGGTGAGCCTCGGCCTCCTCTACAACCAGTCTCCACAGCCAATACGTGCTGCCATAAGAATGGACTCACGCATAATGACCCGAGGATTGTTGTTAGGTTTCTGAACAAAATTCTTTTTACAGGATGAGGTTGTTAGTCTCATGCTCACCCTCCAATTTGGAGGACCAGGGACTACACCCGCAACATACGTGAAACGTTTTGCATAAATACCTGGAGGAAGGGGGAGTCACGTGATACATGGGAATAATAGGATATCATAATCAAGGAAGTAACAGCATGGACGCCTCAGGGGAAGGGGGTCGATGCAGGATACTGGTCACTGCTTCAAGTCTTCGGGTAGAATGTGGCTCAAACCCTTACAATTTAACATTATTATGAATGAGTTGAGTGTTAACGAACATGAGAACTGCTCGACTGGGATATCAGCATGACTGCACCAGTAATGTTACTTTGCTTATATGAATGTTTCTGTGCTTACAGATAGTCACAAGACCAGGGAGCATTGCATCTACAGAGACACAGACAGATGTAAATATGGATGATCTTGATGCTGATGGGTTAGTTTGATATACAGCTCTATAACGTGAAAGAATTTATATTCAAACAAAAGGGAAATCTGTTCGTATATAAGATATAAGATATCTATTTTATGTCTTAATATTATGGGCTGGATGACCAAGGCTTCAGAGAACGAGTCCCAGTAGGGTAAACTACTTTCTCAACGTTGTCCAGACCGGCTCTGAGGACGACCCATCCTTCTATCCAATGAGAACTGGGAGGGAGGGTTGCTTCCTCGGCGGTAAAGCAGCTGAACCTGGAAGCTGACCACTCACCTCAAAGGAGTGTGGAGGTCAAGAAAACGTGGATCTATACATCCACTTCCCTAGGCGTCTTAATTCATCGTGCTTCATTAGTTAAGCACGAGGGAAAAGGCCGCACCATAGCTCAAGCGGTTAGTCGTTGGCTTCCCACCGCGGTGGCCTGCGTTCGATCCCGGGTCTGGTGAAGAGGGATTTGTGGTGGACAAAGTGGCGCTGGGACAGGTTTTCTCCGAGTACTTTGGTTTCCCCTGCCAATCCTCATTCCACCAAATTCTCCATCATCATAATCGTCCGGGGAAGACTACAATACGCCAATCAGTGGCCACCGTGCCAATTGGACCGAGTTGGACTCCAGATTTTTAAGGAAATATAAGCCTGCTCTAATAAGAGATTGACCCTATTAACTGGAATCCTCTGTGAACAGCAAGGTTATGATGAAGTTGAATTTCTAAAATTGCTGTGTCTCTGGCTTGCTACAAAGTAGAGGTTCCTTTTTCGTTCATAATTAATAAATGGTATTTCTCTGTTTCAGTCTACAGCTTATCACAGCAAGAGATGAAGTACTGAGGTTAGGGAATGAACTCGTTGAGAAGGATAATCGCATAACCGAATATGAGAGAGTACTACATTCCCAGAGACAGTGGGCAGAGAGAGAGATAGAGGCAAAGGAAGAAATCATACAAGCCTTGGAGAAAAAGTTAGAAGTCCAGGGAGAGAAGGTAGGGGATGCTCGCATGATAAAATTGTGTTCTGCATACTGAAAGAGAACATTCCCTTCTCTGAATTATCATCAGATGCTCAGATCTGTGGGCNCCTAGACTACTCAGTCTGATTCACGTCACCTAACTCTGTATTATTGTGGTACAT